GACTGGGCGTCGCCAGAAATCTAACTTTGAAGGCTGATTTCGAGGTGAAAAAAATTCGAAATCGAAAAATTTTTTTTGGAATATTTATTTATATCATCTAGAGATGCCAAAACCGTAAAAAAATTCTAGACCTGATATACACTTTAAGTTTTTCGCCATCTGTTTCATCTCTTCAACAAAACTCACTGGTTCTCACTGCTCGAGAAAACGCAAAACTTAACCGATATTTTTGATAAATTTGCTTAAAATTTAGACATATTACCCTTAACAAACTTTGCCAAGTCGTGGTGTATTTGACATAAATCTGTTATAATCCTTGAGCTTATTCAGAACAGTTTTACGATCAAATGTCAGGATAATGGGCAATAGTTAATATAAGATGAAATAAAGTATTTTCAGGCCTCCCTCCCGCAGGATCTTCCGTCATTCGATTAATAATTTCATTTTTAACAGTCATAATAATGATTGACAATGGTTCTTATGAATTACTCGAAAATTCTATACGCTTATGAGGAAGTGAAGGTTCGAACGCCCAGAGAAAGCTCTAGAATGTTCGTTTGTCGCTACGCAAAAACAAACAGAAAAGAAAAAGAAAAAATAAGAGGATTTAGAAGAAAAAAAATAATACCTCGTTTCATTTGGTTAAATTCTTTTCATCCATATTGAATGTGAATAAGGAATTGACCGTACCAGTTGACCATAGGGTTGATCATACAGCCTGTGCACCATTCATTCGCTATCGCAGATGTGTCAAACAAACACTTGGAAATGAAGATATTTTGCCTAGTTTATGTCTAAATCGGTTGATGAACKCGGGGAATACCAGGAGATCACTAAATTTCTTGTATAAATTTCACAAATTTGTCGTTTCAAAATTCGTGTCTTTTAAATTTGTCGTTTAAAGAGTGAACTCTTACTGTCACTACAGTTGATGGAATAAAGAATACAGTTTTCTATGCCGCATTTGTCAGCTAAGTTGTATTTGATTGGCTTGAGGTTTGTTTTGACAGTCACTTCAGGTGAAGTCAGTCATGGATTCCTACTGCAAGACTTTGACGAATTGAAATAAAGTAACGCATGTACGACAACACAGCATGAGACCACGTAATTCAAATGAAGTGACGCAAATTACGCGGGGGGAAATGATTGAGGGCGTAACTGCACAATCCGCGGTTCATACGTCAGAGCATTTATGGTTGATAGAAATGATTGGAGAAATAAACAAGATGAAAAATAGATAACACTCAAAAGGAAAGAAAAAGAAAGAAAGAAGAACCGAGAGAAGAGAAAAAAGAATAAAAGAGAAGGGAGGAAAGGGAAGGGAAGGGAAGGGAAAGGAAGTGAAGGGAAGAGAAGAGAAGAGAAGAGAAGAGACAGCTATTTCAAATAGCTTGCTGAAGGTTTTGTAGCGTGTTGCATACCAAGCCCGAAATGCACTACGGGCGATGTAAATGCAATCAGAGGAAGGACACAACAATACGGAATTTTCTCATGTGTCTTAGATGCGGATCCAGGGGAGGAGTGCAGAAGGTGCGCACCCCTCCCTGGTTACACTTTGTGCTCCTACTTCTAAGATAGTCAATTTTTTTTTTGCCTTTGACTTTAAGGGTTGCACCCCTCCCTGAACAAAATCCTGGATCCTCCCCTGTGTCTGCGCCTTTTTTCTGTATATTTTCTGCTGTGATGGCTTTATTTACATATTAACAAAGCACATTTCAAGCTTGGTATAAAGCAACAAGCAACAAAAACTTCACCGACGTCAACATCCTTGTAAAACCATATCAGTATTTTCATTAAACCTTTAAAAATTTAAAAACAGATGTTAAAATACCACTCTAGTTTATGGGGAAAAAAGATTGCATACTCGATTATTGACGCTAAGTATTTCTGCACTTAGCCTGGTACTGATCAAACTGCTTTGATAACCATGGGTGGCAATATAGTAGGCGAAAACTTTACCATATACAACGTGAAAAAATTATGTAAAACTTGAAAAAAATTGTAGTTAGTCTCTAGTGTTGGACCAACATCTTCCTTCAGTCTCGCAGACTTAAGTTTTAGATTAAAAGTTTTAGTTTCTATTTTCACTATGTAAGAAGACTTTGAGTTCAACAGATCGTATTGTCGGTAAGCCGTGTCCATATTACTCTTTCACGGCGTCTACCCCATGCTGGTGTTTATATTACTACACTCCCATTTGTATATAGCGACGCTATACGTATGCAGTAAATAAGGCCAGTTTAGTCACGTTTCACCATAGCTAAATAAAATTCACATGCCGACCAAAAATTGCTTAAATTTCATGTGTAGGAAAACAATGTTATACTTGAAAGACGTGTTCGAGTTTTTTCCGGCTTTTTGTTAACAAAGAAAACAGTTTTGCAAATATTATAAGTTGCTAATGTTGAATCTTAGTAATAATTATAATAAATATCACAAATTGAACATAAGAAGAGAGGGAGGCAAAGACATGTAGAAAGAAATCTTGTTTTTAAATATGTGATTATTATCGTGATCAAACTTCGACGAAAGTGTTTTCTTTACTATATAACATGGTAATGATTATGATGAGAGACAGATATGGCAGAGGTGAGCGAAGGCACATTGTTTTAGGAACACGTTTATACTAGAAACTGTAAACGAACAAAGAATAGAATGCAAATATTTACCAATCTGAAAATCTCGAATGAAAAAACGAATAAAAGAATTAGCAGACACCGCGCAAAACAAAGTGTAATTTTAGTATCTACAACCATTAGATAATTTTTTCATACCTCGCGTTGAAATGAAGTTTTCGTTTGTCGTACACTGTCTGGCGTTCTGAATAGCGTCTGATAACGACGTTGAGAGCAAAGCAGAAGATGGCAGTCTTGATATGATCTCCTCGTAAAGCTTTTTCTTATTCGCTAACTGCAATCATAAATTACTAGATAAGTTCTTTTCTATCACAATACCACTTCTGCATGATAAAAAGCTGGGCGTCACAAATGAAAAAAAAATCGACCGCAGAGGATGCTGGTATCCCACACTCATGACACTCAAGATTACTTTCACTTTTTTACATCAAATGTAATTCATTCAAAGTGTCAAGACTCTTGCAAAAAGGCAATTTAAACGACTCAATCTTTTCTACCCCTTTTCGTCGGCGTTAGGAGTTCTGTATATTCCTGGCCCTGTTTCGAAGACGTTTGTTTTTAGCGTTTTGGTTAATCTTATAATGTTGAAATTTAAGCCAAATCCAGGAAGAAAAGCTTCTTTAAATTATTCAAATATTCATTGGCTTTTATATTTAGAACCAACATGTTGTTTAAGCCTTGAATTTTCCTTCTAAAAGACTCTAAAATGTTAATCTAATGCACTAAGCCTTTATTCAAGTCGCAGTATTCACGTATTTCAAAAAACGTTGTCGGCCGGAGGTCTGAAATCTGAAACTAAGACAGAGTAGCAGGCTTGCAAATTGTAAAATATATTCACAGCTGAACAACGCAGTTTTCTTTTAGGAGATTGGAAAATGAGGCATGACTTTTAAGTGAATAATGTAATTTTTCGTATCTGAGTTAGAAAACGTAAAAGCACACAGATCGCCCATTCCAGATGCCGAACGACAACGTTTTTTTAAAATGGTGCATTCAGTATTCAAATGACAACCTTTTAAAAATCGCTGTATACGGCTTTTCACGACAGCTGCTAGTGAAGTGGAAAGCTTTGTGACTTCGACTATCTTTGCACATGATCTCAGAAGTTGTCAAGTGGAGGATTCAAGTCGTTATTTAGACAGGAGAATATGACGCTAACACTAAAGGCTTCTTCATTTATGTATTAGTCGTGTAGATGAATAGTGTATTAGTAATCCAACTCGATTGTTGCCTCAGTAAATTGGAGTTCTTACTAAACCTTAATTGGATTTCCAGGTTTTCGTCAATAAATTTTGATCATTTTTTGTTTTACAATCAAGTTTTTATTGAGCGAATTACCCCTGTACGTGCCAAGATACCTTGTTTTCGTTCTATAGTATTTATTAGGCCAAAATATGCGTGCAAATATTCAAATCGTTTCACTTTTCATTTTCTCGTGGATACGTTACTCCTTAGAGTAATTCATTTTTCCTTCCTTCCTTTCTTTTTTTCCTTCCTTCCTTCCTTTGTTTTCTCTTTTCTATTCACTTGTACTACCTTTTCATTTCACACCAGTAAAGCTAAGCTCTTCATCTATTATTGATCGACATCAGTGATAATCATAGTTACCATACACGCAAGCTCCTCGAATGTCCACTCCACATCCTCTCTCACTTTGATGTTATTTTTTATTATTATATTATTTTATTATATTCTTTATTATTACATTTACATTTACATTTACATTTACCAAATTACAAGCACGCCCTCTCTTCGAGGCTTAAGTGCTCGGGTAGGTCAGGATCTTATACTGTGTTGTTTAGTGTTTTCAATCTTGTATTTGCTGTCATTGTAGCACTGAATTTCTTACGTGTTACTGTTACCCTGTTATCCATTAATTATCATAATTATAATCGATCCTCGATAATTCCGGTTTATTGTGTTAGGTGTCTTTCAAATGTCTTATCTTACTAAATCTTTGGTATTTTATTGTCCCCCAGAGAAAGTACGTTTTTATCGGGAGGAGGGATGGGGAACTCGCAATAAACGTTTTTTAAATGCTTGTGGCCTTCCCCTTTGATTCAGTAAGGAATTCATAACCCTTCTGTTAAGTCAACGAGTAAAAAGCTTTCGTCAAAATAAAAAGGTTTGACACTCCACAAAAGTTCAAATTTTCACTAACGACCCTTCCCTTTCATGGAAGCCCCAGCCCTCCCCACCCCCACCCCTCAATAAAAAAATGTGCCTTCCCTTATAGTACTTCTTTCGCTCCTTTCATTTTTTCTCTCTTGTAGTTAAGTAATGTTTTGTCGATTGTTAATGTCATTTCAAAGTTCTTAACTCCGATATTTTCTTGAAAAGGTATTCCGTGCGCTGCTTTAAGTGTTGACTATGAAATTGTTTAATTAAAAGTGAGAAGGGCTTTAATGGCTCATGAATACGAGAAGCCCGGCAAATTAGATCTGGTAACATATAATCATGCGCATAAATGAAATAAAAGGAAATAAAAATGAAATAAAAATTAAACAATCGAAATAAAACAAAATATAACAAAATATAAAATAAAGCAAAATTAAATTAAATTAAAAAGGAAATAAAGTAAAATAAAACTAACATAAGAAAGAGAGAAATGCAATGAAAAATATTGTTGGAAAAATTACTTATTTTTTTCATTATACCATTATCTAACTCTCCGCCCCCTAAAACTAAAAGTCACAACGGATTAAAATAAAATAAAAATATATAACCTTAATTTCTCCGATGATTCTCTTCTGATTCCTCTACTTTAGTTCGATTGCTTCATTTCAACCATCAAGTTAGTTTGTTCGGGAACCCAGCTTTTTCAAAAGTATCTTTGATTGTTTACTTGGATACGCGATGGTCGCTAACACAAGCAGCTGATGYGCACTTGATACACTGACCTTTATAGTAACTTCGGTAGGATTTAAAAGTCAAGTACAACTGCAGGTTGCCGGCTTGAATCAACTATCTTTTGTCTAAATGACGAGTTTTTTTGAATAACTATATTCTTAAATACGAGAATAATGACTTGAAGTTTTTTGAGTAAGATATTTCTTTTCGTATTTAAACTTTTGGCCCAAAGAAACACATTCACATATATTTTTAAAGCTATAAATTATTTGCAGAAAAAAATTTGATGATGCAATATTTCAATTCAAGCGGTAGTGGCGCAACTGTATTCGCAAAGTTAATATCAATATCGTTCAACTTTGCTTTTTAGACAGCCTCTTTAGGTCAACTATTTTACCTTAAAATAAACTAAACAAAAGCTGGAACTTAAACAATAAATTTTAAACAATTGTAAAGTGTTTTTCATATCTTTGAGACAATATCAATGAAAAAGGCAACAATAAGCACACAATAAAAATCGTGACTATAGAACTGTCGATGACGACCGTCACTATTAGATTTTTGAACATACAAGTGCTAAATATAAAATTTCATGTACAGTATAACTAAATAGAGTTGGATGACATGTCAGAGCTGTGTCGTTCCTATTCAAATCCTACAAAACCGAGGAGAGAATGCTATGCTGGTGGGATAATGAATCGCACAAGAAAAAAACACCAATTCCAATTCTCATAGTTTTAACAAA